TCTTATTTCACTTTTTTATATTATTATATTTTAACATATAATACGGCACTATAAAAATACCATATTCTTCAAACCACTTTGAAAATATACTTCCAGTTTTATGCTAGTGATTTCCTACTATATTATACTTTGTATAAAACGAAATAAAACTTAAATTTCGAAAAGTATTTACAATAAAATGGCTACGAAATTTAAAACCGATAACTTATTTGTGTGTGTATATATATGTGAAAGACGTAAATGCGGTAAAATATGTCATTTCCTAGAAGATAGGTAAATGTTGTAATTGTAGAAATTCCCCGGTTTTGACATTAATTACCAGTTAGGTTGAAGAATGTTAATTATAATTGATAAATATATTACGACAAAATGCCGGTGTGAGAGTCCATCTAGGATACATAGTGATAATATTTTTAAGCGCTACCTGAAGTTTTGTTAGTTAAAAAACTAACATAGACAAACGGCCGAAAATCCTACTGTTCAGTAATAGTATGAAATTGTTTCTCATAGGTAGTATAATACGGACATATTGTAGCGAGTTGTGTGTGCGACAAGAGTATCTTATAAGTAAATTTATTATTATTATTTTTTTTTTTTTCAAATTTAATATTTAAATAAAAGTATGGAGTTCAAAGAAAAGTTCAATGCAGCTATTCAAAAAATTAGAAAAAATAAAAAGAGAAGCGACAATATTTTTTATTTTAGTTCAGAAGAATACTGCGATAAAATTCAAAAAGTTAAGGACTTCAAAATGGAAACTCAAACAAAAAGAGTAAAGAATAAAAAAGGCTTATGCACATAAATATGATATTGTGACGATCGGTGGAAAAGTAAAATTAATAAAATCTATCGAAAATGTCTTTGATATTTTATATTACGTTACAAAAGATGAGTTCTTTGAAATTATTCACACGGCGCATTCGGCAATAGGGAATGTTCGTAGAAATAGGATAACGGCAGTGTTAAAATCAAAGTATTGTAACGTAACAACGGAGGCAGTAATGGCATATTTAAACTTATGTAGTAATTGAAAAAATCAAATCTAAAAATATGGCTTATGACAAAAACAATTCTGCATCCCGCATTCAATTCAAGGGCCCGAATTGATTTGATTGACATGCAATCACAAAACTATAATAATTATCTCAATACAATGAACTACCAAGATCACTCAACCAAATTTGTTATTTTAAACCCTCTAAAAACAAAGCGGGCTGAAGAAATAGCTTTAAATCTAATAGATATTTACACAACATTTGGTGCACCTTACAGCCTTTTTCTTTTTTTCCTATAAATCCTTAGATTGGTTTTGTGATTTTGACAAACGTCCACTCGTCCCTATCCGCCCTAACAGCTACCATTCGGTTCTTCGTAAGTTGTTTTCTCTATATCTTCTAAGATCTGTTTTATAAACGGGGCAAGTCTTGGTTTACATTTACCAGCTTTTCCAGCTTTAAATCTTTTCCTCCGATATTTCACTATTTGTTGTTATCATTAACAGGTGAATGATTTTTATTTTCTCAGGTTAGGAGTATGGACTGTGTTTGCTTCGAAATATTGTATTTATGCCTATATAGAAAAAACTCGATTGCGTTTAGTGAAATTAAATAGCGTAAATATACATGTTTGCGCCCAGTAACATTACAATTCAAAAAATTTGGCAACATTGCAGTAAAACTTAAATTTTCGTTTTACTTTTTTTATATTTCGAACTGACAGAATAAAATATATTATAATTATTCTGGTGTGGTTCAAAATTAATCTTCACTATTCTGTTGCGCTATTATTCTGGCTTGGTTAAAAATGCAATTTTTCGTCATTACGGCATTACCGCTTTAATATTATTAAAATTTATTATTGTACTTAATATTATAATTGTAATATTATTTCTTCATTTTTTTTTTTTTTTTCGTACATTTAATTTTGCGTTTATTGGTCATATGTCTCTTAGTTTCTAACGTCCAGAAGTTTTTTAACCACTGCTTTATTTTATTTTTTGTTATAAACAACTTTTCTACCAGAAATTTTGCTCTGATTTTCAATTGTAGCACCTTTTTTGAAAGGAAATTTGATTGGTGTGATAATTTAAGCAGGTCAATATTTGATTTTTCTAAGGGTTTCCTTAAAAATGGGACAAATCAGATAAAAAATGAGGGAAAAACGGGAACATTTTCGAAATATATTATTTTCAAATAGTAAATATTACGGACTTTTAAAACATGTATAACCGAAATCCGCTCAGAATCGTTTTTCATTAAAGATAATTGATCTTTGCGTACAGATATAGATTAAATTTCTACTTTATCTTTCTAATTTCTTAACTTCAACGGTGGCTCACGCCAGTGGCGTCCCTAGACTCTTTTATAGGGGGGGGGCGAATTTCACACATATATTTATAAATATACGTGAACACACTAATTGCTAGGTATTTTACCTGGTTTACTCGGGATGTGTAATGTCATATATGGCATAAGCATAGTTACTGATTCAAAAAACAGTGAAATCATGTTAAAATTTCGGATTTTAGAGAACAAGAGTTGTTTATTAGCACAGTCACAGTATTCAAAATATTTGAATATATATAAATATAAATTAATAACAGAAGTAATTAGGTAATAAAGTGAGAAAAAACAATTTACAGTTATTATAAGTAGGTACTTATTTACATCCCATTTGATGTTAAAATGAACTTGTTGAATCTTGTTGAATATAATTTAATTAATTAAATGATGAAATCGACATTATACATTATCCAATTGTTTTACTTAATAATTAATAAAGAGAACTTCTGTTTAGTTAAATAACACATTTTTAAATTGCTTTATTAAACTACAACTTTTATAACAATAAAAGAAACACATTGTACTAATTATTATCAATAACCAGTTATTCGTTTTGCATTAAAAAACAATAGGTAGGTAGGTAAAAAGAAAATAACTACACAAATTGAATACCTATTTTTTTTTATCATAGTTCAAAATTTTACTGAGTATACAGTATATTACTTTCAAAACTTTTCATAAATCTATTTTTTATCTACCTTTTCCTATATCAATTTATTGTTGATGCCTTTTCGATAATCTGATAACAACTAATTAGGTGCCAATTTATGATTAAATAGCAAATATAACATGCGCAGTGTTGAAATGCTACGTTCCGCTGTACCAATACTAACTGGTAAAGTTCCCAATATAAACAAAAGCTATTTAACCATGGAAAAAAATCCTAAACCACACGCCTCAATGGCACTAAATACATTTTTAGTAATTTCATTTCCCATAATAAAGAAGTAAACTTTAAATTATTAATTTAGTTATTAAATTAACATTCATTTTTAGCGTCTAATATGCGATATCACATAATTTTACAGTTTACTTTTATGTATTTTTCTAGTGTAATCTAAATTACAAAAAATTGAAGAAAAAAAATGACATAGGGAGCGATTTCCTTATTCGCCCCCCCCTCTGGGAACACCTCTGGCCCACCCATCGTGCGAAATATATCTGTTTAAATGCGTATCTGTTTGAAATTCTATTAAAACTTATACATTATGGCCGTTATGAAATTATTAATGTAGTCTGTATCTCATCACTCACGACTAGAGAATACAATCCCGAAACACTTTTACAATCCCGGGATTCCGGGATTTTTCGGAACCAATCCCGGAATGCCGGGAAAATCCTGGGATAACATTTCAAATTGATAAAAACATAAAAAATGATACGTACATTATTTAAATAATTTTAATAAAAAAATACGAATAATAACTATAAAAATGGAATGCGGGAAAATGTTTTATCGAAAAGGAATATTTTGAAAGTAAGATCGGAGCAATGTCAGACCATCTAATGTTTCATCTTCGTAATTTATTTCCGGTGTATGCAGATTCCCGAAAACGTACATTCAGGTTTTATGCTGTAGCGGGATAAATGCGAGTTTCTCCGTTCTCGTGCAGACTTAACTCTTGGATAATCGTATTAGGCATTTATATAATATTGATCACGGACCTTTCTAAACTCATAGATAACGATTATACCCAAATGTTAAACAACACTACACAAATATTTAACGTTATTATCGACAAACGGGTAAAACCACACATACTCTGAAAAATATTTTATTTTATACAATATGTTTATATTTTATTCACAATTATTATAATTTTTTCATGTTACTACGTTGAGTACTTTATCCCGAAAATCCCGGGATCAGTTATTTGTCAACGCTGGGATAGCCAAAATCAAAAAGGGCCCGGGACTGTATTCTCTACTGTCACGACAGATACATACATTAAATTTGCGCTTATGTCAAATTTATTGATTCGTATTGTTTACTGGGTACCCGCAGCAAGTATTTTAACGTTATTCAATTTTATTAAGGTCAATTGAGGATTTGTTGTGTAGACGCAAATACTATACGGTTAGGAGCGTGTGCAGTGACGGATTGAGTTGTAAAAAGGGGCCCGGCCGTTCCGTAACTATAATTCGAAACGGCTTAGCTCTCGAATCGAATCGTTTTTTCCTGCAGTTATGATTTATAGAACTTAAACGACGCATTTTGTTGATAAATTTATAAAATGAGCGTCAGTCGTTTCCGCCAAAATGTTTGATTTTCGTTTCCGTCAAATTTATTTCTACCGATATTATTGAGACGGAGTCGAAAAACCCACGGTCTATATACAACGTTAACGATCATCGATGTATGTCAAACAGTAGTGGTGCGTAAATAAAATTTACTGGGAGACTTGACTTTTGTGTAACTATTGGTAATTTATATTATACATTTTTATTTGAAATATTATAGTTTGTGATGCGTTTAAAGTTACCCAGGGGCCACCGCGAGGAGATGGGTCTCATTGACCCCCAAACAATTGTTTGACCTTATTTTCGGATTAAGTTGATTATAATTTAATTTATGTTACAATATATATGTTATTTTGAATAATTGTGTTGCATTGTCTAATGTCATTCTTGAAATTGTTTTGTTTTTGTCTTTATCTATTGACAAACACACACACACACACACACACACACGCTGTCTATACACTGATATACATGATATAGATTAGATTGATTTGTATTTATTTATAATGGGTGGCAATTACTACGCGCAAAATCAAATAATGCAATCTCTAATCCATCAATATCAATATCAATATCAACATCAATATCAAATGGTTTATCCCAAATCTCGTATTTAAACTAAGGGTTTTCCATTTCATTAATAACGGTCGAAATAAGTTTGGCAAAAGCGACAACCGCCTTTATGAAATAGCCAGATAGATCTCTGAGGGGGAAAAAAAAATACTACAAAAATAGCCGTATCGAATGATTCAACCCTTAGGGTAGACCGTATTGTTAATAGGAACCGTACGGATCGAACGGATTTATACGCAATCGAAACACAAAAACGTTCACATAAATATCATGGCTTAATTCAAAAGATATGCGCGTGATAGAGAGAAAAAAAAAACAAACAAACAAACGTCCAAACGTGCGGAAATCGGTGCTAATTTTCGGCGTTTTCCACGTGCTAATGCCCGAAATACAGAAATCACAATTAGAATTTGCTCTTCGTCTAATTTGTGCACTATGCGTACAGCCCCAGACACTAATTAAAGAAGCGATATTGTCGGCCGTAAACAAACCGTATTGAATACCGCGAGATGACACGACTGGAAATGCAGAATAGAAAATATTATGTACCGATGAACGGCTGTTCGCAAATGGCGAAACGCGCGCATGTAGATATATATAATCATACCGAAATATGCGAACTGAAATTGGCGTCATTCGAACAGTAACGGTTTTAACCGCGAACGCATCTTACCGGACTCTGCTGAATGGAATATCTTATTCCAACAATAAACAAAAAAAAAAAAAAAAAAATTCGCGTTTACGGCAATATACTATTATCCGCTGTCTGTGAATACAAAATTGATCGCGAACCGCCGACTCCTGGCCCGGGATCGTGGGCGCAACTAGACCACCGACTTTGGAGGTGCTAAAATCGTAGACAAATTACACCCCCCCGGATGACAATCACATTTAGACGACACTTATAAAAAATAAGCTACTATGCATTTAATTTACAATTTTTATCATAACTTGCTTGAATTTATTTTTTTTTTGCACGCACGCGTTGACTGTCTTTTGTTCTGCTTATTAAAAGGGAAAGTATACACGGATAATATACTCAGTCGATACCATAAAAAAGCTTGTTGGGTATTTTCGGGCGCGCTAATTTCAAACATGGGAGTGGTGCTGAAGACCTCCTAGCACCGACGCCTAGTTGCGCGCCCATGGGCCCCGGGGGTCAAATCATTAGACGGATTCGACCGTGTACTTTGGTAGCCCTGTGTTTTTTTTTTTTTTAAAAGATTTTCTTTTCGGCCGCGTAAAACGTTATAATCGCACAGTGGCCGATCAATTTCGTATTGTAAAATGCAAATGACAATCGAACCGCCGCTAATGGCCGCGGATGTCTGTTACGCGAGAGCGAGACTCGGGGGATTTCTATCGCGGTTAATAATAATTGACGACCGTTAATTGAGGCGCATCGAACACAGGCGGTGTAAGTGACATTTTAATGATTTAGAGAAAATCAAGTTTAAAGTTATTTATATTTAATACAATTATTTTAGTATATTATTATCATATCATTACTGTTCTTGTATTCAAATGATAAAAAAGCTGTCCTAGAATAACGGAGACGGGTGCAGCTACTGTTATAAGTAATTGAATTAATATATACCTGTAGGCAACGATAAACCATTGTTAACGAAAAAACGATTCCGATCGGAGTTCAGTTGACAGTGATGCTTTGTCAACAATACACGTATGTAATATTGTGGTAAAATAAATAGACAAGCATTATATATTTTCTTCAATAATATTTGTTTAATGTTGTACTGATTTCGCCGTTTTTACCTACGTTTTTCCCAGTTCTTTACATTTGCCGGGAAAACTTTTATAAATAAAAAAATCGCTTCCTTATCGTACCTTCCCAGCCAGATTTCCTTTCAGAAAAGGCGTTACACTTGAAAATCGGATCAAGATATCCGGTAGAAAAGTTGGGCACAGAGAAAAGAAAACATCTTTGTTAAACCATAAGCTTATTCGCTCCACTCAGAATATAAAAAACGTTTTAGACACGTGGTAGTACAGAGACATAAGTGTATTATTAACAGCTGTCGTGAGAACGCTTGTACCTATATATTTTTAATCTATTATTATTTCCATTAAATGACTATTTTAGCGATGAGTTATTCACTAAGATTTCACTACCGCAAATCAAATAGAAAATTTGTCCATTAGCAGCGCACTTTACTCAGATTTTTTTTAGAAACGTCACTGATACCCCTTCTGTTCTAGGCGCCTCAACTGTTATTGCAGTCAAATAAACGGGTAGCGTTAGCGAGACGTCACGTGGATTGAATCGCGCGCGGTACAATGAGTCGAGCTTTTCGCGAAAAAATGCACTAAGGTCGCAGTTTAGCATCGACGCGGTGTTTATTTCAGACCTTCGTCCCCGGGGAGACGGTAACGTACGTTTCCGAGCGGATGTGCCAATGGCGGAGCCGGATTTAGGAATTTTTACCCGCGGGGAAATAATTAAGAATATAATAGCTAAATTATGGCTTTTTATTTTGTAGCTCGTTAAAATACTGTTATTTTTATAACACAATAGTAACTTTAGACGCTCAATGAAGTTAGGGTTAATCTGTTGGTTTGTCTATGATATATATATTTTACATAATTTTTTTTCTGTCTTCAAACAACTTTTCTTCTAGAAATCCTGTTCCGATCAAAACATGATAAGAAACCTTTTTTGTTGGATTTCAGTTCTTATTGGTACTTCAGGCGGGTCATTTTTTGAAATTTTCTCACTTATATTCGAGATAATAAGAAAAAATTGATTCTTTAGGTTGAAAAAGATTAAAAGTATGGTTGTCATTGGCAACCGATTTTGTTTATGTTTTTATTATTATTAGGTTTTTATCATTTTAATCCTTCAATTTTTTTTTGAAAAATTACTGTTGTTGTGAAAACGCACATTATTGAAAAAGCATTACTGTTGACCAAGTTCAGCTTAGAATTGTTTTCTGTTGGCAATGGTTAATCGTTGCGTACAGATATAAACCTTCCAACCTTTCCAACTTCCCATTTACAACAGTGGCTGCACTAGTATAAACGCTTTTTTGTTCAACTTTATTGTAATTATGATGACTAATAATTGGCTCATAAAACTGATTTCATATACACATCACTTGTAGCTTAGGTAGTAATATCGCACATTTTCAGGGGAAATTATACGTTTTCTGCAGGGGTTTAGAATCCTCCCCCCAGTCACCCCATGAAATAAAAACTGCATCGATGTGACTGTAACGTCAACAAACCAAGTACCTATATATTCGAAAGTTTTATGAATTTAGGTGAACAAAACGTTTTTCACAAAAACTGGCTCGATTTAACGACTATATCCTACGACTTACGGGAATTACCCGGTAAGGTAAAAAACGCTTACCGTCGGGCAGTTCCCGACGGGAATCGAATGGAATTCCATACCGGAGATATCCGGAAGTTTTCTGCCGCTTAAGAATGTTTGCGACCCTATTGAAAAACTCCGAAATGACCGTCGAGTTACCTTCGGCCGCCAAGGCGCCATACCTCCTGCCCGGAGCCGGTGTTTGCGAAATTCGATAAACGCTCGGGGGGAACGAGGAAGCGCTAAGGGGATGAGGACAAGTGAGAAGTAAGAGGACTTGGATGATACCGTGTAGTTCGTGTATGACATTTTGTGTATTATTTGTTCGCTATAGTTGATTAACTGTATATATTTTTAAATCTTTGTGCTTTATTTGGTACGCACTCAGAGATCGAGACTGTGAGACAAATGGAATTTGATTTTCTTAGCCTGCGAAGCTTGCGTTTAAATGTATTCATTTATTTATTTAAATTTCGAACGGGCCAGGTCCAATTACATAGGTTATTATAATAACAGTCGTTCGTTAACAATAAAATGCAATACAATTAATTTGTATACAGTTTTAAACGAGTTAAATTTCGGTGATATGAACAACTCGATTTTTAATTTATTTATAGATTTCATAATTCTATGGGTAGGGGGGGGGAGTCTAGCACAATTGGTTACTTCAGTTGTTAAGATAAAATGTATTTATAGACCGGGTGTTACGAGTAGGGGTGCGGAAGGAGACACGACTCGGGAACTCGGGACAGTCGGTTTTTCCTGTGAACAGCTCACACGCAAAGTATAAATCCAATCGCGAACGGCGTTGTTCAAGTGTTTCGAGGGAAACAAACGGCACGGTTGGGGTGCACGAAGAATGCGGTTCTCTGGCTACTGAACGTTTAAATGACAGGAACCGCAAGAACTTTTGGTGAGTTTTTTCGACAATGACCCCGCCCCCCCCCCTATCACCCGTTGGGAATCCATCCCATTCGTACGTCCTCCGAACGAATCCGGGAATCGACTAAAGCATAAAACAGGTCTCGGGAATTCACTACCCCGTCGACGCCGGTTGGCCGACCCGCCGACCCGATCGCGCAACGCTCGGCGAGGAAACGCTAAACAAGCAGAGGGGCCCCGGCCTTCCGCGTTCCCGCCGGCTCGAGCACCGGTCACGGGGGACACAGCCGCCGCGTCGGAAAAATTACGCATTCTGTCCCGCGGGCCCGCGCCGCCGGTTCGGCCGGCCGGCCGGCCGCAGCGACACACACGCACACACACACACACACACTAAACGGACCCTCGCGCGGCAGACGCACGTAATAATATCACCGTCCCGAGCCGTATAATGTATTGCGATCGCGATTATTATTATTGTCGTGTGTGCGTCGCGCGATTGTAATTCGCTCGTCAGTCGGCGGCACACACTCGGGGGAGTGCCTCTTTACCGACGCGCAGCAGCTAATATTACGGACGCAATATTATGTGCGTTCGGACCCGGCGGGGATTATGAGTGCCGGTAGACGGCGGCGGTGGCTGAGGAAGGGGGGAGGGGTCGACGAAGAAAAAGAAAAAGACGCGCGACGAGTGAGGTGGCCGCGCCACTCGAACCCGGGCTCTCAATCGAAAACCGGCGGCGTCGGCGGTGGCGGCGGCGGCGGCGGCGGCGGCGGACACGG